TTGATAATTTTTGCATAGATTTTATAACAGGAATTTAGAAGACTTATACCTCTATAATTTGAACATTTAGATTTGTCGCCTTTTTTATAAAGTGGGTAAATTAGGGCTTCATTCCATTCTTCTGGCATATATCCAGTGGACCAGCAGATATTAATAAAGTTAAGAAGTCTCTGGGTAAATTGATTTTATGCATATCTGATCAATTCTATGTTTATATTATCAGTACCAGGTGACTTTTTATTTTTTGTTGCGTTAATGATTGCTTTCAACTCATCCATAGAGATCAGATAAATAGAATTACATATATCAATTTTAATTCCTCTCTCTTCTTCATCTTCAGAGGTCCATAGCGATTTAAAGTAATTTAACCATTTAGTTTCTGAAATTATATTTAATTGAAGTTTATCTCTTTCTTGATTATTTAAATACTTTATAATGTTATATGCCTTACTTTGGTTTCCGAATAAGTCATGTTCAATTTCGCTAACATATCGTTTCCAACTTTCTCGTTTAAGCTTACGGACTTCTCTTTTAACTAAAGTAGATTTTCTTTTATATTACATACTATAATTCATATTCCAAGAAGATGCGAGAGTCTTTAAATACGCTTGTTTTTTTCTTTAATAAGTTGTTTGATATTACCATTCCAAAACCTTAGCCCTCGTTTGCAAGATTTCTTTTTCCTTGACCCTATTGCTTCTGCTGCTGCCTGTGTTATAATTTCATTAATGTTTGCCCATTCTTCATTTATATTGTTACTTACAGGGTTACTAAGATTTTTCTGGTTGATTCTACTTTGGTATAAAAGTCTTATGCTATAATCTTGTAAAAGGTTAACTTTAAATGTTTCTATTTCTGTTTTGGGTTTTAAGACGGTTTTCTTCCATCTCTTTGGGAACATTATGTGGCATCTTACTAAGAAATGGTCATATGACACATCAAAACTCCTAAATACTCTTACATCCTTGATATTTATCCAAGTCTTATTGTTTGCAAGGAGGTAATCAATTATAGAGGCGGATCCACGTGCTGACCATGTGAATTTGTTAATATTTCGGTGTTTAAAGAAAGTGTTAGTAATTCTCAACTCATTGTATGTGGCAAATTCTATTAATTTCTTCCCATTATTGTTAAGTGTGTATTCACCTTCTGTGCCTACTATATCTTTTATAGGTATATTATCCTCTTGCATTTAAATCACCTAATAAAAGAAGATAGTCACTTTTATTAATCTTATTTATTGCTGTCTGTATTTGTTCGTAGAATTTTATCGCATCTTGGGTTCTCCCCTCTTCTGGTGCGTACAAGGCAAAGACTGAAACGTAAACTCTGTCTACTTTAAATCTCATTGTTATTATTCTTTCGTTTATGAAAGTATACGATACTATTCTATTTTTCAATGTTTTTCTGATCCAAATAGATACTCCAGCCGATGCTCTCTGTTTTGGGGGGACTCTACTGTATATCATTATATAATTTTGTAATTCTGATGAGCCCTGCAACTTTTTTTTTTTGGTTTTAGTAATTGCAGCAATATCAATCCCAGCTTTATATAATTCCTGTTCTAATTCAGCTTCTTTATTTGAGAGAGCTCTAACATTCCATATTTCCAGCTTTAATATTTCTGATAGTTGTCGTTTATCCATTTCCTTTTTCTTTGCATATGTTGGCATAGAGGAATCTGTCCGGCATGAATCTTTGACAAATTTAGCGGAGTGCTGTCCCCTGGCCGCGTTGCAAGCGCTGCGCAGGGTAAAGATAGTAATGGGGCTGCCATCTTGAAGCTTCTATCCCAGCTTCTCTGCGTCTAAACCCCTGCAGAGAGGGCTGCTACTTCAACTCCTCAAGCCACTGTGATATTCGCCTGGATCCTCATTGCCTCTTGGACCGTTGTAATCTTCACACATATCGTGTGCTGGGTAAGGACACTATCCCAGGAGAATGAAGGAGAAGAAACAGATAAATTGTAGAGAAGAGAAGAAGAAAAATAATTAAAAGTCAAGAACAGAGTAGATTAAGAAATGAATGACACACTAGCCCTCGAAACCCTATAGCAAGGGATCAAGAGAGACCAAATAGAAAATATTATAGAAATGTAGCATACGTAAGTGGACGGAGTGCTACAATAGTTTTGTGGATCTTTAGCATTACCCAGGAGTCACCACGAGGAGGCGGTCCACTGGCTGTCTCCAGTCTGGGCATATGGAATACAACTTTGGGGAGCAGCTCAAAATTCAAATATTGAAATATTACAACGTTTCCAATCTAAAAGTTTAAGAAATTTTGTAAATGCTCCTTTGGTACGTTCAAACGCCACAATACACCGAGACTTACAAATGACAACAATAAAAGAAGAAATTAACAAAACCAGCGCAAAATAATTACGACTACGTAACCATCAAAATATTCTTGCCATTAACATACTAGACAATAATGACACCACCAGACAACTTACACGATATCATACTTTAGACATGACATATCGACTATAAATTGTTGTTAATTTGAAAAAATGTAATATTAGGAGTACGGTCAATGGACCTTACTCCTCTCATGTTATTAAAATTGTATGTAATTTTGCCAAATGTTTATACCTAAACAAATAGCAAAATAAAATATTATAAAAAACGTAATCAGCTGTTTCTGTTTCATCCAATCGGGAGGTTGAACGTCACCATAGTGACGTCACTGTCGTGATTTACAACCTTCTGATTGGATGACACCGTGATAGCTGACTATCTGCCAATACAGCTCTAAATAAATCGAAGTAGTATACAACTTCAAAAATTGCTCTGCGGTGAAGACTCTGTTCTCTGCATATAATTGGCCAGGTACATTTCTCGGGTGGCCAATGAATCTGTATGATATACCAGATAACATTTATTCACCCCAGAATTTCTGAAGCGCAAAGTGTCTATTGATTTAATGAATTCTAAGTTTTTAATATAAAGGGCACATAATCGCAAGCCCGTAAATGTAAAAATAAGCACAGTTTTTCACATTTTTGTACATTTTCATTAAAATTCCTCTATTTGAATTAAGATACGAGTTGACACATTCTTTAAAAATATAATTTATATCAAGCTTCATCCTGGGAGTTTGTGGGAGTTTAACACACACTGTGTGTGTGTGCGCGAGTGTGTGTGTTTATATATTTTATATCAAGCGAAATAGGAGAAACAACAATTATTAGAAACTAATTTGATCAGTTTAAATTACGAACACTTATTTTTTTATTATTATTAAGACCTTATTCCTAGTAAAGTATTATTTTGTATGCCTTCTTTAAGTCGTGAGGATCCAGTTGAAGGGAGTTTAACAGACAAAACCGTATTCCCGAGTTCTCCAACCTCACCTGCAACGAAATTCAATATTCACTTCAACCGCATTCTCCTACTGAACTAAAATATATTTACATTCCGTCGTTAATAGACCAAGCGTTAAATCACATCTTCTCTCTCTCTGTCTGTCGTCTGTCTGTTCTGTCTGTCTTTCTCTCTCTCTCTGTCGTGTCTTTGTCTGTACGTCTGTCTCTCGTCTCTGTCTGTCTGTGTCTGTCATCTCTTCTGTCTGGTCTGTGTGCTGTTTCTCGGCTGTTGTGTCTGTCTGTCTCTCTCTCTGTCTGTCTGCTGTTCTCTCGCTCTGTCTGTCTTATCTCTGTTCTCCTGTCTCTCTTCGTCTGTCTGTCTGGTCTGTCTGTCTTGTCTGTCTGTCTGCTGGTCTGCTCTCTCTCTCTCTCTCTGATATATAATATATATAATATATATATAATAATATAATATAGATATATATATATATAGATTCACTCCAATTGTCGTTTAATGCAAATCATTCAGCAATATTTAAGTTGAAAGCAGTTGAACGAAATGTGGAGGATGATACATTTAAATCAGGAGCGGAGAAAGAAGCTTCACTTTGCTTCCGTAACTCTCATTCGGCCACATCAATAGCAGGTTAAAATGCAAAGCAAAAGTTCAACTTTCCCTGCCTGTTCGCCACCCTCAATCGGTGCAATAGGTCCGGAATCTCCGACTTCAAGGAGTCAACATAGAGTCGTGCGCGCTGGCCTCACCCTCCGACTTCACAATTTTAAAACTGATTTGGAAATCTGGATTCTTGAGTGTATCTGTGTGTGTGTGTGCGTGCGTGCGCGAGTGTGTGCGTGCGTGCGCGAGTGTGTGCGTGCGTGCGCGAGTGTGTGTGTGTTTGTGCGCGAGTGTGTGTGTGTTTGTGCGCGAGTGTGTGTGTGTTTGTGCGCGAGTGTGTGTGTGTGTTTGTGCGCGAGTGTGTGTGTTTGTGCGCGAGTGTGTGTGTATGAGTGTGTGTTTGTGAGTGTGTGTGTATGTGTGTGTATGCGAGTGTGTGTGTATGAGTGTGTGTATGAGTGTGTGTATGCGAGTGTGTATGAGTGTGTGTATGCGAGTGTGGAGTGCGTGTATGCGAGTGTGGAGTGCGTGTATGCGAGTGTGGAGTGTGTGTATGCGGGTGTGGAGTGCGTGTATGCTCTGCCTGACTCAATACACAACACACTCAACATTACTCACTCATACACACACATTACACACACACCGCCAACAACACACATCACAGCTCGACACAAAGCACACACTCGCGCACAAACACACACACCTCGCGACAAACACAAACACACGCGCACCAACTCGACACACACGCACAACAACACACACACTTGCGAACACAACAACACCGACACACACACACAACTTCGCGAAAAAACTCAACATCCGACAACACACACACCACTCGCGCACAAACAAACATCTGCACAACCACACACACGTCCGAACACACACCAGCACAACACACACCACACTGCCCCCTCGCGCACAACACACACACTCAACCACACACTCGCGCAACCACACACAACAGCGCACAACCACACACTCGCGCACACCACACTACACTCACAACACAACCGCGCACAAACACACAACACATCGCGACACCACAACACTCGGCGCAACACACACACCCGCACACACCACATCGCGCCAAACACCACAACACACTCGCGCACAAACACACACACACCATCGCGCACAAACACAACACACACACTCGCGCACAAACACACACACACACTCGGCACAAACAACACACACACACTCGCGCACAACACACACACACACACTCGCCGCACACACACACACCACACTCGGCACACAAACACACACACACTCGCGCCAACAACACACCACAACACTCGCGCGCACAAACAACCACACACATCGCGCACAAACAACCACACACACTCGCGCAACAAACACACACACACACACACTCGCGGCACAAACACACACACACACACTCGCGACAAACACAACACACACACCGCGCCAAAACACACACACACTCGCGCTACAAACACACACCACACTCGCGCACAATAAACACACACACACTCGCGCACAACACACACCACCACTCGCGCACAAACACAACACACACTCGCGCACAAACACACACACACGCGCACACCTCGCGATCGCAGCACACACACACACACACTCGCGCACAAACACACACACACTCGCGCACAAATCACACACACACTCGCGCACAACACACACACACTCGCGGCACAAACACACACACACTCGCTGCACAAACACACACACACTCGTCGCACAAAACACACACACTCGACCGCACAAACACACACACACTCGCGGCACAAACACAACACTTCGCGCACAAACACCACACACTGCGCGCACAACAACACCACACTCGCGCACAACAAACACACTCGCGCACAAAACCACATCCCAAACACTCGCGCACAACAACCACGCACACAACATCTGGCACAAACAAACACACTCGCGGAACACACACACCGCCACACACAACTGCGCGACAAGCAGCACACACTCGCGCACAGAACACAGCACACCACTCGCGACAACGCACCACACACCACAAATACACTCAACTCGGAAATCCAAACCTTTCGCCAACACAGTTACAAACTCTGGCAAAAACCCCATCCGCCGCCACACGGACGCAACCTGCGCCCAGCACACTGGCACGCACGCCACAGTACACCAGATCGATTCCAATCTTCATTGTGGATAGCCCGCGCACGACTCCATTGGACCAGTCCGGAAGATTTCCGACCCTATTGCACGATTGAGAGGTGGCGAACAGGCAGGCGAAAGTTGAACTTTAATGCTTTGCATTTTAACGTCTGCTATGATGTGGCCGAATGAGAGTTACGGAAGCAAAGTGAAGCTATACTTTTTCTCCGCTCCCTGATATTAAAGTGATCATCCTCACATTTCGTTCAACTGTTTCCAACTTAAATATTGCTGGAATGATTTGCATTAAACATCAATGGAGTGAACTATTATATAATTATATATCTATACTATTATTATATATATTTATATATATTATATTAACAGAGAGAGAGAGAGAGAGCAGACAGCAGACAGACGACAGAGCAGACAACAGACAGACCGAGACGAGACCAGACGAGACAGAGAGACAGAAGACGAGAGACGAGCAGACAGACAGAGAGAGAACGACAGACAGACAGACGAGAGAGACAGACACAGACCAACAGAAGAGATGACAGACACAGACACGACAGAGAGAAGAGACACAGACAGTACAGAAGACAGGACAGACAACAGACACGAAGAGAAGAGAGACAGACAGACAGACAGAACAGACGACAGACAGAGAGAGAGGAGATGTATTTAACGCTTGTCTATTACGACGGAATGTAAATATATTTTAGCTCTCAGTAGGAAAGCTGTGTGAAGTGGAATATTGAATTCGTTGCAGGTTGAGGTTGGAGGAACGCGGAAGACGTTTGTCTGTTTAAACTCCCTTCAACTGGATCCTCACGATTTAAAGAAGGCATACAAAATAATACGTTACTAGGCATAAGGTTCTTAAACTAATAATTAAAAAATAAAGTGTTCGATAAGTTAAACTGATCAAATAGTTTCTAATATTGTTGTTTGCTCCTATTCGCTGATATAAAAGTATATAAACACACACACTCGCGCCACACACACAGTGTGTGTTAAACTCCCACAAACTCCAGGATGAAGCTTGATATAAATTATAATTTTTGAAACGAATGGTGTCAACTCGCTTCTAATTCAAATAGAGGAATCTGAATGAAAATGTACAAAATGTGAAAAACTGTGCTTATATTTTTACATTTACGGGTTGCGAATATGTGCCCTTATTTAAAAACTTAGAATTCATTAAATCAATAGCACTTTGCGCTTCGAAATTTCGGGGTGATAAATCTATCGTGTATATCATCAGATTCATTTGCCACCCGAGAAATACTGGCCAATATATCAGGAACAGAGTTTCACCGCAGAGCATTTTTGAAGTGTTTATCTATTCGATTTATTAGAGCTGTATTGGAAATTAGTCAGCGCAATCACGGTGTCATCCATCAGAAGGTTGAAATCACGACAGGACGTCACTATCGGTAACCTCAACCTCCCGATTGGTGAAACAGAAAAGCTGATTACGTTTTTTGTTATAATTTTTATTTTGCTATTTGTTTAGGTATAAACAATTGGCAAAATTACATACAAAGTTTTACTAACAGAGAGGAGTAGGGTCCATTGACCGTACTCCCTAATATTTAATTTGTTTTCAATTACACAATTCTAGCGATATGTCATGTCTAAAGTATGATATCGTGTAAGTTGTCCTGGGTGTGATTATTGTCTAGTATGTTAATGGCAAGAATATTTTGATGTTACGTAGTCGTAATTATTTTGCGCTGGTTTTTGTAATTCTTCTTTATTTGTTTCATTGTATATTTCGTGATTGTGGCCCGCTTGAAGTACCAAAGAGGCATTACAAAAGTTCTTAAACTTTTAGATTGGAAACGTTTGTAATATTAAGTATATTAGAATTTTTGAGGCTGACTCCCCAAAGTTTGTATTCGCATATGCCACTGGAGACAGGCCAGTGGACCGCTCCTCGTGGTGACTCCTGGGTAATGCTAAAGATCCACAAAACTATTTAGAGCAACTCCGTCCAACTTACCGCATGCTACATTTCATAAATTTTCTACTTTGGTCTCTCTTGCACCTGCTAAAGGGTCTTCGATGCTAGTGTGTCATTCATTCTAATCTACCTCTGTTCTTGATTTAATTATTTTTCTATCTCTCTTCTCAACAATTTATCTGTTGTCTCTCTCTTCTCGCTGGATAGTTGTCCTTACCAGACACGATATGTGTGTGAAGATTACCAACGGTCCAAGGGCAATGAGGATCCAGGCGAATATTCACAGTGGCTTGAGGAAGTTGAAGTAGCAAAGCCCTCTCTGCAGGGTGTTTAGACGCAGAGAAGACTGGGATAGAAGCTCAAGATGCCAGCCCATTACTCTATCTTTACGCCGCCAGCGCTGGGCAAGCGGCCAGGGGAAGCATCCGCTAAATTTGTCAAAGATTCAATGCCCGGGAAGATCTCTACGCCAACATATGCAAAGAAAAGGAATGGATAAAGACACAACTTTCAGAAATATTAAAGGCTGGGAGAATATGGAATGTTAGAGCTCTCTCAAATAAAGAAGCTGAAATTAGAACAGACATTATATAAAGCTGGCATTGATATTGCTTGCAGATTACTAAAACAAAAAAAAAATTGAAGGGCTCATCACGAATTACAAATATAATAATGATAATCATAGAGTCCCCCCAAACAGGAAGCATCGGCTGGAGTACTATTTGATCAGAAAAACATCTGAAAAACTAGAATAGTAGCGTATACTTCAGTAAACGAAAGAATAATAACAATGAGATTAAAGTAGACAGAGTTTACTCGTTTCAGTTCTTTGGGCCTTGTACGGCCAGAAGGGGAGAACCAAGTATGCGATAAATTCTACGAACCAAATACAGACCAGCATAATAAGATTAATAAAAGTGGACTATCTTCTTTTACTTAGGTATTAAATGCAGAGGATAATATACTAAAAAGATATGTAGCACAGAAGGTGAAAACACACTAACCAATAATGGGGAAGCGAAATCTATAGAGCAATTTGCCACAAAAACAATGAGTGAGAATTACCTAACACTTTCTTTAACACCCGACAATATTAACAATTCACCGTCCAGCCCTGATCCGCCATCTATAATTGATTACCTCCCTTGCAAACAATAAGCTTGGATAAATATCCAAGGAGTAAGAGTATTTAAGGAGTTTTTGCATGGTCATTATGACCACAACATACTATGTCTTTATTGACTACGTAAAAGCATGTTGATAGCCTCTAAAAGACAATATTATGGAAACACTGAAATAATTTGGACTCCTTCCCATCTTTACAGCATTCATCATTTACAGAAAATATAAAAATCATGATCCGAAATGCTAAGAATGGAAGCAGAATCGCGAATGATTAAAACAGGGATTAGAGCAGGGATGCCGCCTCTCGCCAACGCTTTTTAATATAATATATATATAATATATATATATATATATATATATATTAATATATATAATATATGATCTAATGGAAGTGGATTATTAAAAATGGTTGATGATTTA